TTTCCCTGCCAGACTCCCTTGCTTCCTCCTCTCCACATCCCCAAAATCTCAGCAAGGGCCAAATGATGCTCAAAAGCCACTCAAAGATTCCGTTCCCCTCCCAGAGGAGATTTTTTCCTCCTCCATGAGCTGCTTTCATGCTTCTCCCACCCTGATGCTCAGTTACTCCACGTCTGAGGGATGCAAGGCAGCAAAGTTTGGGCATTTTGGGGACTGGTTTGGGTTTTTTTAGGGGTTTTTTTAGGGCGTTTTGGGGTTTGGGGGTCTGCTCTCAATGGTGAAAGCAGCACTTTCTCCCCACCCTGCCCAAGAATGTTTCTGCTGATATTAAACCCGACCCGGAGGCATTTGGAAGGAGTCGACTTCCTCGCCAAAAAAATGACCTCAGCCTTCTGCTTTGGAGCTTTTTTTTTTGCTTTTTTTTTTTTTTTTTTTTTTACCTTTTTAAAGCATTTTTCTCCCTCTCCTGCCTGCCAGGCGAGAGGCACTGCTGGGGCCTCACCCACCTCCCTGGCATCCACTGTGCCAATCCCCAATCCAGGAGGATATTTCTAGGTTTCAACCTGCAAATTGCAGTTTTAAGATGCAAATTCCATTTTTTCCCCTACAAAAATCCTGCTTGATGCTGCCAAGAGTATCCAGAGAGCAAACCTGCTGCAAAAACCCACCTTGCACCATCCTCCAGGCACTCAGTGACCCACAAAACTCATTTTCCCAATGAAATAAAAGTGGGGGAAAAGCCCAAACCAAGAGCTGATGTTGCCTGTGATGTTTCTGGAAGGGATTTTTGCAGGAGTTTCCTTAACAGACTCCTCTGCATTTTTGCTGTTATGAACATGGCGCATTCCCAAGGCTGCTGCGATGCTTTTCCGAGAGCTAAAACATCTCCTGAGTTAAAAACTCAACAAATCCAAACCCTCAGGCACCTCCATGGTGGGAAACACTGAGGAGAAAGGAGGGACACACTAAGTTCCAAAGAGAAATGCTGGATTTGGGTGTTTTCAGCTGGAATTGCTCCAGCTTTAGGGTTTTTTTTCCTTAAATGAATATTTCTGTCCTGGAGACACTGAGCTGATGGGGCAGTTCAGAAAATGGAAACACTTCTGGGAACCTGTTGGATTTCCAGTCCACAAAAGGCTGAAAATTCCAATTCTGCCCCTAAAAAAAGCCAGATTGCAAAGGTTTCTGCCATTTTTCTCTGTGCAAAGTGGAGTATTGCCATCCTGGAGCTGCATTGGCATCCCACATCTCCATCCTGCATCTCACACCTGCACCCTGGATCCTGCACCCCACTTGTATCCCAGAAGCTGCATCCTTCAGCTGCATCCTACTTTTCCATCCCACATCTGCATCCTACACCCATATCCCATGCCCATCCCCTGGATCTACATCCTGAAGCTGTATCCTGCATCTCAAATCCTACAACTGCACCCTGAGCACTGCACCCCGTGCCCTGCATCTGCACCCACATCCTGCCCCCTGCATCCCACTTCTCACATCCCAAAGCTGCATCCTACATCCCATTTCTTACATGCCACAACTACATCCTGAATTCTGCACCTCCACTGTGTCCTGCACCCACACTCTTCATGCCACAACCTCCATCTGCACCCACATCCTGCCTCCCCCTCTTACACCCACACCTTGCGCCCTCCTATGTCCTGTGCCTGCACCCCAAAGCTGCATCTGCATCCCACATCTCCATCCTATGTCCTACATCCTGCATCTCACATCCACCCTGATCAGCCTCACCAGGATCCCTCACCCCATGCAGGGCCCTGTATGCTCTCAGCCCAAGGTCCTGACTAGGCCATACTGGGCTGTGACCCCTATAGCTGCTCCCTGGGTGTGCCTCATTCCCACCCTCCCTCCAAGCTCCAGGACAAAAGCTTAACTTCAATGAAAATAATTTGCAAGGCCACCTTGGTCCCATCCAGTCCTTCCTTCCCACTCCTCCCTGGTCCCATCCAAGCGTTTCGCAAGAGCAGGTGTGATAGGGAGAGCAGCATTCCCAACCTAGCCCACTCAGGGGGAGCAGGAGGTTTATCGTCCACAGGGTCTCCTTTCCCCTCCCTGGCACATCTGGCAGGCAGATGTGGACACATGGCTGGGCTCTGCCTCCCAGATGGGGGACAAGCCACAAAATCCCTGTATGAGTTTGGAAAGTGATAATTTTTCCTTGGAAATCTGCATTTCCTGGCTCGTGGCACACAGTCTTTGTGCACAGTCATGTGCCATGGTGCTCTGGAGCTGGAGCTTCCCTTGTCCTGCACCTCCATCCCATAATTGCACCCTAAGTCCTGCTTCTGCTTTCCATGTTCCACATCCACATCCCACCTCTGCATCCCAAATCCTGCCTCTGTATCTCATGTCCTGTACCTGGCATCCTTCATCTACATCTTAAATTCCACTCCCCACATCACCTGTGCTGTACCTCACCTCTGTATCCTAGACCCTGCTTCTGTACTCCATGTTATGTATCTGCACCCCAAATCCTCCATCTGCCCTTTCATCCTGTGTCCTGCATCCCACATGTTCAGCCCCACTCCTGTGTCCTGCATCCATGTCACATGGTCTGTGTCTGGAGACCTGCATCTGCATCCTAAATCCTCCATCCTGCATCTGGGAACCTGTGTCTGCATCCTAAATCCTTGATCTGCTTCCTAAATCCTCCATTTTCCCCCCTAAACCCTGTATCTGTATCCTGATTCCTCTATCCCACATCCTCAATGCATCTGCAGCCTAAATCCTGCTTCTGCAGCCCCTCTGCTGTGCTCTGCATCCCAAATCCTGTCACATCTGCATCCTGAATTCTCCACCCTGTGTCCTGCATATGCATCCTAAATCCTGCATTCCCACATCTGCATCCTAAATGCTCCATCCTGTGTCGTGCACCTACATCCTAGTTTCTCTATCCCCCCTGTCCTGCATCTATGTCCTAAATCCTGTCTTGCACCTGCATCTTAAGTCTTTCATCCTGTGTCCCCATCTACATCCCAAATACTCCACCCCATAGCTGTATCCTGGATTCTCCATCCTGTGTCCTGCATTGACATCCCTAAGTCCCTCATCTGCCTCCTAAATCCTGTGTTCCATATCTGCACCCTGAATCCTGCATCCGTGTCCCAAATCTTATGCCTCCAGCTACATCCTAAATCCTCTATCCTGCATCCTAAATCCTGTATCTGCATCCTGAATCCTGCATCTGTGTCCTAAATCCTGTCACATCTTGCATCTACATCCTAAATCTGCCTCTTAAGTTCCCTGTCCCACAATCTGCATCTACACTCTATGCACTCCATCCTGCATCCACATCCTAAATCCTATGTCCCACATTTGCATGCCTAATTCTCTGTCCTGCATCCTGCATCTACATCCTGAATCCTCTATCCTGCATCTACTTACAAAATCCCACATCCCCACCTAGAACCTAACTCCTCCATCCTGCACCTACATCCTAAACCCCACGTCCCACCACCGCACCCTGAATCCTGCATCCCTAAGGCCCGTGCCAGCGCCGCTCCCAGGAGCCGTGCGGAGGGCGAGGGCCATGAATCCGGGATGAGGGGGGCAGAGCTCCCGCCCCGGCCCTGCTGTTGGTTTAAGCATTCGCACGCTCCGGTGGCTCCGGACCCAGCGGGGCCGCACAAAGGCGCTTTCAGCGCTTGGCTCCCCCTCCCCGGCCACAGCGGAACACAAACCCTTTATCCCCCGCGTATTTCCCCCGAAAGCAGAAAATAATCCCCTCCACGGAGCTAAAAAAGCCCCCACAAAACCCACTAAAAATGAAGGTTGGAAATAATTCCCGTGGGATAACCGAGCCTGGTTAAACGCGCGAGGGCACAGCGGAGCGCGAGAGGTGCTCAGCCGTCCCCGGAGCATCCTAGGGAGGGAGAAACGCGGCTGTGACCCCAGAAAACATCCCATTTACAGCAGGCAACAGGTGAAAAATTCATCTGTTGCCACAGGAAGACCCACTCATGCCACGAGTTATGTCCAGCCTCGCGCGTCTCCACAACCCTCCATTCCCAAGGCATTCCCGAAGTTTTTCTACTTTTTCATGCCCTTAGAAATATAAATTCCTGGGGGGAATGAACCAGAAAACCCTGTATTCAGCCTAATTATCCCCCCCGGCCGCAATCTGTGATCTCGGGGACAATTAAAAGCGCTTAATCCTGGCTGAAAAGCAAACAAGGTCGGAGCGCGGCGTCTCCCTGCTCCCCCTGCCCACCGCCGGGGTCTCGCTCCCAGCTGCAATATAAATATGCAATTAAAAAATCGCCGCTAATTGCTTCGCCCAAGGGGGTTTCCCCTTGGAAAAACAAAAAAGCCAGGGAAAGGGAGAGTAAAAAAAAACCCAAAGAAAAGAAGGAAACAAGTAAAAAGAATGAGTGAGGTTTACTCCGATAATTAAACCTTGATGAGATGTTGGGGAGGAATGGTGGAGATAGCTGAGGGTTTGCACCCCAGGGTGGGGTTTTTGGGGATGCTCTTTTTGGGGGGGGATGGGGTTAATCCCCAGCTCTCCTCTCTCGCTCCAGCGCTAACAACCCCTGGCAGCTCTCGGGCTCGTTAGTCCTTCCGAAAAGCAATTAGAGAGGTTGGAAAATGAGGGCAGTCGCTACCCTGGGACAGGGCAGGAAGGGGGTTTGAGCGGGGGGGTCACCCCTAAACCTCGGGGCTGGTTTAGGGCTGCACAGCTCGGCAGAGATCCTGGAGTGGGATTTATGCTGGCTGAGCAATGCTGAGCCATCAGTAGGGTTCAGAGTGAATGACATCAGTATGTTTCAGAGTGAACAATCATTTGCAATCTCCCCCCTAGAACAAGCACAATCACTTCGTGTCCCCCAGAACTTTATTGAACCTTCACAAACTAAAACGTGAATGGGCAACTTTACAGCGTTCAGGTGCTGCCACCAGAACCCAGTCAGAAGGAGGAGGAGAAGGAGGAGGAAAAGGAACAAAAAGAGCAAAAGGAAGAGGAGGAGGGGTGCAGGGGCTCAGGTGCCAGGCAGCCAGACCTTCTGGGTGCTGACGATGCCACTGAGCTTGGCCTTGATCTTCAGGAAATGCCTCTTGAACTCCAGTCCATCGCCCTGTTGGGGAGACACAAGGGGTCACATCCCCCTGCACCCACCTCGCATGGGCCAGCAACACCTTGCGCCCACCCTGAGTGGTCCTCCATCCCCCTGCACCCACCCTCCATGGTCTTCCACCCACCCTGCATGTCCTGCACCACCTTGCATGGGCCTGCATCAGCCCTGCATGGTCCTACACCCACCCTGCCCCTACCTCACATGGTCCTGCATCATCTTGTACCCACCTCGCATGGTTCTCCATCCCCTCACACCCACCTTCCACGGTCTTCCACCCACCCTGCATGGTCCTGCACCCATCTTGTACTCACTCTGCGTGGTCCTGCATCACCCTGCACCCACTTTACATGGTTCTGCATCACCTTACATGGTCCTCTGTCCCCTCGCACCCACCTTGCACCTGCTGCACACCACCTTGCAGGACCCACATCACCCATCACCTGGAGCCCACCTGGACCTCCTGCTCACCTTGGAGAGGCGAAAATCCACCAAAATCTTGCTCTCCATCTCCACCAGGTTCACCTTGAAGATGAGTTTGTTGTTCCTCCTGTCCGTGGTCGAGATGGTGACCTGCAAAGTGGGGGTGGGGGAGACCCCTGAATTATTCACCAACACAACAGTATGGGGGGGTCCCAGCCCACGGTTTTTCCCCCTAGTCCCTACCTGGTTGGTGCAGCTCATCTTCCAGCCATACCCCATCTTCTCACACACCTCCTCCAGCGTGCGGTACGAGCCGTCGGCGTCCAGCTTGGTGAAGAATCGCGTCATCCTCTTCCCCAGCCTCTGCCACGGGTTCTGCCCCCCCAGAACACCCCAAAGGTCATCAATCCCGCCAAATAGGTCACCGATCCCAACTGATTCCAGCCCCAGCTCGGCACAATCCCGGCTTTCCGAGGGAAATGTTGGGAAGCTGCACCCCCTGATGGCACACAGCGCCAGCTGCATCCCAAATCCCAGGAACACTGCACAGCCGCGTCCCAAATGGGACAAAGTTGGTCCCTAATAGTATAAATAGGTCAAAAATTCTCCTTAACGTCACATATATGATGCAGAGCTGCACCCCAATATCACACACAGTGCAGCGTTGGGCCCTGATGGTGTAAATCGGATGTGAAGCTGTGCCCCAAACCCCAGGTAAAGTGGCATCAGAACACCAAAAACACTGAAAATCTGTGCCCCAAATCCTGCAGTTGCACCCCAAGATAACACACCTTGCAAAGCTGCATCCCAGCATTGCCACGTTGCTCCCTGGTATTCCATATACAGCAAAGTTGCTTCTTTATGTCCCATTTAACACTCAGAGTTGCACCCCAGTATCACACAGTGCAACACTGGCCCTTGATGGTGTAAATGAGATGCAGAGCTGCCCCTCAGACTCTCCAAACCCCAGGCAAAGTGGCATCAGGGTACCAAAAATCCTGAAAATCTGTGCCCCAACTCCTGCAAACTCACACCCCAAGCTGATAAGTAACACAAAGTCAATGCCCCAGTATGGCCAAGCTGCTCCATGATATTCCATACTGGACAAAGCCAAAGCCAAACACGGCAGAGCAGCCACAACTCTGCACGGTGCATCCTGACACCACCAGCCACAGGGAGCTGCACCCCAAATCACAGAATCATGGAATCATCCAGGTTGGAAGAGACCTCTAAGGTCAAGTCCAACCCTTAACCTGTCACAGCTGTAACCCCTAAACCACCAAACCCTATTACCAGCACCAGGTCCAAATGCCTATTAAACACTTCCAGGGATGGTGAATCCACCACCTCCCTTGGCAATATCCCAGTGCCTGAACACCCTGAGAGGGAAAACATTCTTCCTAACATCCAACCTGAATCTCCCCTGTCTCAGCTGCGAGGTGGCACCCCGAGAGGATAACCCTTGCCCAGCACATCCCAACTTTACAGGCTGCACCCCAATATTCCAGGCAGTGCCCAGGTGCCCCTGCAGCCCCTGACCTGGGAGGAGCCCGGGGTGCCCAGCAGTTGGCTGTTGACCAGCATGTGCTCGGGGCACGCAGGCTGTGAGAAGCTGATGCCCTGCACCAGCTGGTGGATGCTCCCTGCTCCGCTCTCCCACGGCATTCCGCCCGTGCCGGGCTCCGGCTGTGACGTGGAGTAGCGTGCCTTGTCCTCACTGCCAGGCAAAGAGGACACAGAGTTTAGGGATGCTGCAGTGGGGATTGCATAGGATAGTGCAGGATTTTGGGTGGTCATAGGGTTTCCAGCCAACCACCTCCCGAGGAAAACACCAGGAAAGCCTTGTGGCATGCAAGGAATTGCAACCCCAGCAGAGAGGGAAGTGCAGGCTCACCCCAGCACGCCCTTCACCGGGGAGAAGTCTGTGTCCGACCGGACGTGCTTGGATAAGCCACCAGGAGAGTCAGTGACACCCCCTGAGGAGAGCCGAGCCCGCTTGGCATCTGCAGAGGGACAGCACACACAACAACCTCCAGACCCAGGGCAATGAGTGCATTCCCTGGCAGTGCCTTACCCTTCCTGAGGGGTCTGCTGTACCACCGGTCCTTCTGGATGTCGGGAATGGTGATCCGCGCCGTGGGGCTCTCCGTCAGGATCTTGTGCAGCAGGGCTGGGGAAGGCAAGGGGGGGTAAAGCCATATGGGGGGTACATATGTGTGT